ACAAAAAAACTGTGGGGGGCCAGGCGCGGTGGCTCACGCCTGTAAAGCTAGCACTCTGGGAGGCCAAGGCAGGCGGATTGTTTGAGCTCAGGAGTTCGAGACCAGCCTGAGCAAAAGCGAGACCCCGTCTCTACTAAAAAAAAAATAGAAAAAAATTATCTGGACAACTAAAAATATATAGAAAAAATTAGCCGGGCATGGTGGCGCCTGTCTGCAGTCCCAGCTACTCGGGAGGTTGAGGCAGGAGGATCGCTTGAGCCCAGGAGTTTGAGGTTGCTGTGAGCTAGGCTAATGCCACAGCACTCACTCTAGCCAGGGCAACAGAGTGAGACTCTGTCAAAAAAAAAAAAAAAAAAAAAAAAACTCTGGGGATGGAGACAGGGATAATGTCTGATGACATAGTTAGCCAATTCCCATTAGCATAGATCCAATTTTACCTGCTAAAAGTGGCCATTCCTCGGTTCCTTTGACCCTAAATAAAGAGTCCATTTCCTCTCGACAAGGTCCTAGAAACTGCCTTTTCTCTACTAATACAATGTGAACAAATATAGCTGAAAGGTTAAATTTTAGATGTATTTTTGGTGGGAGAGAGATGACCTTTGGCAAGTCATCTCACCTCTACGGAGCCCAATTTTCTGTAAATTAAGATTGTTGAAGCCAGGCACAGTGGCTCATGCCTGAAATCCCAGCACTCTGGGAGGCTGAGGCAGGAGGATCCCTTGAGGCCAGGAGTTTGAGACCACCCTGGGCAGCACAGTGAGAGCCTATCTCTACAAAAAATGAAAAAAAAATTAGCCAGGCATGGTGGTGCGCACCTATAGTCCCAGCTACTCAGAAAGCCAAGGCAGGAGGGTCACTTGAGCCCAGGAGTTTGAGGCTGCAGTGAGCTATGATGATACCACTGTACTCCAGCCTGGGTGACAGAGTGAGACCCCATCTCTAAAAATAAATTAATTAATTTTGAAAAAGAAAGGGGAAAAATTGTTGGATCAGTTGTTCTCCAAATCCATATGAATCCAACAGTGTAAAACCATGGCCTCTGGCCATGTGGGTACTTTGGTGTTATAATGGAAGCGAACTTGGAGAATCTGACGTAAACCCCCAAATGATGCTGCATCATTTACACCATGCTGACTATTAAGAGGACATTGCCATTTTGAGACTCATTACACAAAAATATCATGGTGACCCAGCCTGCAGGCTTTGGAGGTACTAAGGGCGTTTAGCAAAAGCAATGTAATAAATTACATTTAAAGTAAGAAAAAAAAAATTTTTTTTAAATGCAGTGTTGTTATTTGAAAGGTAGCTAATTAACTTGACTTTTCTGGTCCGCATAAAGCTCTGACAGGTTAATCATAATTAAGGTGCCGGCATGAGTTAGGACAAGGGCAGCCAAGGTTACCATGAAGACTTGAGACTTTCTCTTCGTAGCTTCTCTTCAGACTACATCAGAGAGGAGCAAGACCAAAAAGAAAATCTGAAAAGCAAGCAAGATTTGAAAATTAGGCTATGAAATCAGGTTTTATATTTTTACAAAATTCTTCCAGGTACCCTGCAGCCCAAAAGACTGCCTTCTAATGTCCCACACCACTGCGCAGGGGTTCTCAATCTTGGCTACAAATTAGGATCACTTGGGAGGCTTCTAAAATGTCCCACAGCCAGGCAGGAACCCAGAGCAGTGACATCAAAATCTCTGGAGGTGGGATCCAGGCAGCACTATTTTGTGAAAGCTCCACAGGTGATTCCAGTGAGATACCAACCATTGTCTCCAGCCTGGCAGCATTGGCATGTGCGATGAGTGTTAGAAATGCAGATTCTAGGGCCCACCCCAGACCTGCTGGATCAGAAACTCTGGAGGCAGAGCCCAGCGATCTGCGTTCTAACAAAGTGATGCTACAGCCCCCCTGCCTTAGAACAAGGCTGAGAATGGTTTGGGCCTGGGAGGTTTTCAAAGCTGATGTTTCTGGTTGCTTCCTCTGGCCATAGAAAAGTCCATCTGGTTTTAAGCAACAGGTCTTCTCAGTAAACCCAACACTATGAATTTGAATCTCCAAATGTTGCCTGCGGTAACTCTAGTCTCACGTGGTCATTAAGCTGTTGGAACTCTCTAACAGTAATTGGTGGCAGGATTATTTGCCAACTGTGGTCACTCTGGGTCTTTGGAAACAACATGTTATCGGGTCAAGGCCTGCCTGTTTTCTGGGGCAGGGTTCTGTGCGCTTGTAAGTGGTTTCAAGTCATTTAAAAAGAAATTGTTGAGCACTGAGTTTGATCTGTCACCAAACAATTCCTGACTACCATCATGGTTAGAATGGGGCTAACTGCTGGGGCTAACTGTTTTGCATAACAATCAGTACCTGTATAAGTGTCAGTCTCTTGAGCCCATGCAGTTTAACACCCAGCAGATCTCTGTGCACAGACTCAAAAGCCTAGAAGTCAGGAAAGGTCACAAACAATCTTTGCTTCTTGTGCATGGCTGATTTCCCCACAGGGTGAAGAATAGAGACCCAGGGGGTCAGCCATGGGAAAGCCAAACCTAAGACTTCAAAGTCCAAATCCTTGGGCTGCAAATTCCTAATGAAGTAGAAAAACCAATACACTCATACCCGGGACCACTGAGTGTGCACCTGCCACATGCCCTGTGCTGCGTCAGCCACTCTGTGTGTCTGATCAGTGACCCAACAGCCCACAAACATCTCCCTGCTTTGGAAAGAGAAAGAGACTGGGCCGAGTGGGTCTAAGGAAACTGACCAGGATTGTGTGGCTAGGAAGTAGCAGGGCCAGAATTCAAAACTGGATTGGGGAGGAGATGGGATTCCAAAGTAGGAGCTCTTTCTGCTCCTCACTCCTGTTCCCTGAGGCTGTGGTCAGGGTGGAGACGACCACCCTTCCAGAGAAGGGAGATAGCCAAAGCTCTGAAGCCAGCTCATTGGCACCTGTTCATTGCAGTGAGCAGGTTATAAAGAACCAGGCCCCATCCATTGAAAGATATTAAGTTCTGGTGACATCTATTCAATAAACATGCACAGGCAGCTCCTGTGTGGCTGTGTGCCAGGCACCAGGCTAGGTAGGCTGGGGGCGGGGGGATGGGGAGACTGTGGCCCTGGAGATTGTGCCCATGATGAGGTTGGCAGGGGGCATGGTGTGTGTGGTGCTTACCCAGCCCCACACTTCAGGGAAGTCTTCAGGAAGGGGCGAGAGCTAGGCTGAATTTTAAAGCATGAGTAAGCACCATTTAGGAGTTTCACGGGCCAAGAAGGAGGGCCCCTTGATTTTAGAGCCTACATCCATACAGAAGACTGGGAGTCTCACCTTGAAGGTGGGAAGGAGCCAGGGAAGGCCTTAGAGATGGGGAATGAGTTGACGAGATTGCACTGAGGGTGACTCGGATCTCAGAGTGGGTGCTATCACCGCTCGGTTCACTGAGGTGCAGGGCAGGCTCCAACGGGATAGGGTGCACTGTTGAGTTTGAGGAACCTGGAGATGGCCAAAGGGAAATATCTCTTTGGCAGGTAATTGGAGACACGGCTTTGGCACTTGGAAGGGAGGCCTGGGTCATGGCCATGTGGGGCACCTGAAGGAGCAGGTGGATCACCCAGGCAGAGGGTAGATGAGAAGAGGAGAGGACAGTGATAAAGTTCGGAGGTGCATCAGCATTTCAGGGATGGGCCGGGGAAGAGAGGTCTCGAAAAGGCATCACATGTCTTTGCCTGGGGCTGGGTTACAGTGAAGCCAATTCAATGAAGAAGTAGCTCTAGGTCTAATCTGCGTCTGAGGTTGACATTTGTCCTATGCACAATCATATGGGATGTCACAGTCCCCATCCTGGTTGGGAAGGGCTGAGTCACCCCGGCACATGTTGGAATTTGTCTTTCCATAGAGATTCTGGAAGGAAACTGCATTCCCAAACATATGCTTCACCTCTGGTTACTGCAGTCACCCTAAAAATACCTCAGTGGTGTGTTCTACTCAACCACTTTGAAGCTCCTAAGAAATGAGTTGGACCACTTACAGCTCCCAGTGCCCCTTCTGGGTTGAGTTTGGAGTGTGACCCTAAACACTCGGCCTTGAGCTTTTGTTTCCAAGCAGGAACTGGGGGTAGACACTGGCATTTGCCAAAAAAATAATAATTAAAAAAAAACTTGTTTTAGCTTACCTGTGATCTCACCTAGGTGGGAGTTTCACAGTAAACAAAATCCCTGACAATTCCACAGCTACTTGGAGACAACTTTTCCAACTTCCAGGCCCATTATGTGTATTCAGGGCTGGTGACATCGAGATGAAAGTGATGGAGAAAATGTCACTTTCTGCCTGGCCAGGCTAGCCATTCGGGGGAGAGCGGGGGGCAGGAGGAGGCAGACACAGCACAAGCTGTAATGCCGGCCCTTCAAGGGGAGCCCGATGTGAAATCTCCCCAGAGACATTCCAAAGTCTGCTGTGGGATGGGGTGGGTTTTCCATTCACATGAGCACAGCTGCCCGTAGACACGGGCTCCGTGGTGAAATAGACCAGCCCTTGTGCAGCACCTCCAAGGTCGCCCAAGAGCACCTCATCTGACTGGTCATGTGAGCACCAAGAACGAGTTGTGTGAAACGCAGGATTCTTTCGGGTCCATAGGGGGCTGAGAATGAGGATGTTTGTCTCCCCTTGTTTGTGGAGTTAGTGGCCAGTGTCCATCTCTGGAGCAGTGGACAGAGAAAAGAAGTGGGTGTTCGCCATGGGTTCCACATGGTGCTGGAAGCAAGGAAGCGCTCACACAGAGCAGCTCGAGAGGATCAATGTATCAATTGATCACATCAAGAGAGGGCGTTGCAGACCCAAGATGGCACATGCCATGGACCAAGGAGTGTGTCAACTTATCTCTCTCACATGAGATCTTAAAAAAAGCTATGTATATGTGTGTGCGCATGTGTGTAGGTTTTGGCCAAATTGCACTTTTTGATTTTTGATTGCAATTTTTCTTTTAAGAAGCTTGTCTGGAAGTTCGCTGTCCAGGAATCTTGAAGCTCAGGATGATCTTGTCCAATGCCACAGCCGTGACGCCCTTCCTGACCAAGCTGTGGCAGGAGACAGTTCAGCAGGGCAGCAACGTGTCTGGCCTGGCCCGCAGGTCTTCCCGCGATGACAGTGAGCTGGCGGCACTCTACATCCTCATGGTGCTTGGCTTCTTTGGCTTCTTCACCCTGGGCATCATGCTCAGTTACATCCGCTCGAAGAAACTGGAGCACTCGCACGACCCATTCAACGTGTACATTGAGTCAGACGCCTGGCAGGAGAAGGACAAGGCGTACGTCCGGGCCCGGGTGCTAGAGAGCTACAGAGCATGTTATGTCTTTGAAAACCAGTTGGCTGTAGAGCAACCCAGCACACACCTTCCCGAGGTGAAGCCTTCAACATGAACCCCACAGCTGGCTAAAACTGGACAAATCCCCCCTGACAATCTGATTTTTCTAATCACATGCCTCTCCTATTCTTTATTGTATGGTTACCATTGATTTTCTTTAGCCTTTGTAAGGGGAGAGAGGTGGATTCATGACACTATTTTTCTGAAATCACATTCCTTCTATAATAGACTTTCAATTATTCCCCACCATCTGTCCCTGCCTTGCTAAATTTAGCAGAATCCCTGATCATGTGGCCTCTAATAATAATAGCTGCATTTGCCAGACTCCCTTGCAGCTAGCAAGGTCATGTGACTGAGTCCTGGTTAATAGATGTGGAAGTAATGACTACAATGTCCAAGTAATCCTTAAAAAGGAAAGAATGTCCCCTCCACTTCCTTTGTCCCCCTTCCCAGTGCTGGGACATGGATGAAGTGGTGAGCAGCTTTGATGCCGGGGAAGAACAGCATACTCACAGATGGCAGAACAGTAAGAGTCTGGGCCCAGGTAACATTGTGGAGCAGGGTCTCCCTACTTTCCTGGACTACCCACTAGGTCAGACTTACAGGAAAGAGGAACTCCCTCCACTCTTCCTTTAGCCACTGTTATTTTGATTGCTGTTAAAGTAGAATCAATATCTTTACTAATATACCTGCCGTAGAGGACTGAACCCAAAGATGTGACATGCTCATATTTTTCACAAGCCCACACCATTTCCCTTTGTCACTTCTGTGCTCACTGCTGTGGCTCTATCTTCCTCCTGCCCTCCTGCCTCTCCCCCCTCCCTTACACTCACCCTTCAGGGATTTCTCCCCAAACACACACACACAGAGACACAGACACAGACACACGTACACACACACATACTGCCCACTCACACCACTCAGTCTAGAAGGAACTTGCTTCCTACAGGGCTGAGATGGAGGAGAAAAGATGCCGCCTTCCGCAGGTATACCCAGGGGAAGGTGCTCAGTTACCCAGGAGGAGGGAGAGTGCCCCCACCCCCAAGAGCCCTGGGGAAAAAGTGGGTGTGGAAGTGGGGACACCTGGCACTGAGGTGGCAGGGCCTTTGAGGCAATGGGCCTGTTTTATGGGTGGAATTATGCTCCCCCGCAAAAAAGATATGCTGCAGTCCTCACCTCCAGTACCTGTGAATGTGGCCTATTTGGAAATAGGGTCTTCGCAGACATTCAAGTTAAGATGAGGTCATTGTAATGGCACCTAATCCAATATCCCTCGGGTCCTTGTTAGAAGAGGGAAGTCTGGACACAGACACACAGGGACCATACAACGTCAAGTGACAGCGGCAGAGACGGGAGTGATGCAGCCACAAGCTGACGCATGCCAAGGACCAGTGGCCACCAGAGGCTGGGAAGAGGCCAGGGAGCTCCTCCCCTGGCAGCTGCAGAGGAAGCGTGGTCCTGCTTGATTTAAGACCTCTGGCCTCCAGAGCTGTGAGATGATGAGTATCTGTGTTTTGAGCCACTCGGTTATGGTAGCCCTAACCGACTCACGCAGCACCTCTCACCCACCCAGAGGGAGAGAGAGCGGCTTTGCCTCCCAGCGTGGCACCTGGAGAAGACCAGGCCCCCATTAGTGTGACCTGCCCCAGGAGGGTCACAGAGAACCAGCTCCCTGGGTGTCAGCTTTCTTCTCCGCCATGGTCTCCAGCGTCAGGGCCCTCTGCAGGGCGACACCCTGAAAGCTCGGCCACCTGGGCATTCCTGAAGACTGTGGAATATTTAAATTAAACATAATTGGCTAAAACCTGCATGTAATATAAATTAAAAGCAGCCCACAAGGATCCTTGGCCATCCTCAGATGGACAAACGTGGCTCAGTCTGGCTCCAGTGAAAGTTTCACGTAGGGAACAGGGATTCCTCTGTGCGTGCTTGGAAGCATCTCTGGGGCAGACCCTGGCAGGGATCAGCCTCTGAATAACTGCGATCATTGAGGTGAGTGGTTCTTTGGGCCACAGAGCCCTTTGAAAATCCAATGAAAGCTATGATCCTCCCCGGGCCCGAATAATGCACAGAAATGCAACATTTCTCCTACTCCCTTGGGGGTTCCTGGGCCACTGGAAGCCAGTTGTGGCTGCTGGCATTTCACAGCCCCTGTGAGACACACCTGCTTCAGACAGATGCACATTCCGCAGACTGAAGGGAAGGCAGTTTTGGAGAGGGACCCAGAGCACACGTGACCCGCAATGTGATCCTGGAGGCAGCACGCTGACTTTGATATTCCAGGCACACAGACCGGCTTTTTATCACCACTTCACTTTCCCCCACTGAGATTCCTGTGCCTTTTAAGGCAGAGGGAGATCCCAGGGGCTTTAATCCTCCCTGTCCTTGAAGGGCCCTTCCGCACACTGCAGACCTCTAATCTGCTCCTCCCTCCCCTTCCCCTTGGTTTTAAAGGGTGAGGAGGAAAGATTTGAACTGTAAATTTTCAGATGCTTGTTATCATATTTTAAAATTTGCTTTCACATACGTAGAGTGTTTGTGATGTGCCGTGGACTGTTCTAAGCTCTTTAAAAATAGAAATCTCAATGATTACCTTGCATGCAATATTTTAGGCATTCATTAGATAGGACAGCTATGCTTTTTGTGATATTAATAAGATTTTTTTTTTAAATTAAAGCTATTTATCATGATCTGTGGCGTGTGTTCTCTTGATATCACTATGATACTTCTAGAAGATGGATATCAGTTCCTAGGGGGCTCTGATGAGGCAGCCCCAGGGGCTTGGGAATGAGGAGACTAAGATTGCATGTGGATAATTAAACACTGCCATCAACACAGCGTGTCAACACGGAGACACGCGGGCCCTCTGATGCTGCAGATAGAAAGCGAGCCGGAGAAGCCCTGGATGGAGATGGACAAACTGCAGAGCCCTCCCCACCCCTTGTAAAGGGGGGCTGCTGCCAACTCCTAGTGTTTGCAGCCGGCAGGAATGTGGGCCGTCCTGATGGACTTCTGGATATTGTAAGAGAAGCTGTGTAAGAGCCTCACGTTTACATGTTGGCAGTTAATTTAATTTTTAAAAGTTATATGAGCCAAACAGAATGTGGCCTTGAGCTGGGTCCTGCCCAAAGACCACCAATGAACAATCTCAGCCTTAAGGAGAAACAATAGCTCCCTCCAGCCCCAGGCCACACCTGAGAGGAAGCATAAACCGAGTCAGAGAGGGGACCCTGCCCCGCCAAGGTGACAGAAACAGGCACTTCCCCAAGTGAGGCCCTGGGCCAAGGGACCCTGAGGTCCGAGCCCCGTGTTGGAAGCTGCATCGAGCTTTGCTCCCCTGCTGTGTGAGAACATCCCTGACTCTACCATGCAGGCCCAGGCCCCCACTCTCTGCCACTTAGCATAGGACATTGCAACTCTGATCTCACTCGCATCTCTGGAGACCAGTTATTGCGAGTCTGCCCTAGACAGGGGGATCTACCCTGTGAGCAGACGAATCAGGCTTCCGACCCTCCCACAGGGCCGAGGGCTCATGGGAACTGGAATAAAATAGCCAACACGAAGAGTGTCATTCCCACCTCTCCTCTCCCAGAGCCCCCTGGCCGGGCTGGCCGAAAGGCTTTCAACTTCTCCGGCGTAGACATGCCATGTGCAGTTCCCTGGACGGTGGCATTGAAGAGTTCCGTGGAGGTTACTAGACACCAATAAGGGAAACTGAGGCTCTGGGAGGGTCAGGGACGCACCCAAGGTCATTGGTTGCTTGAAGGAGGAATCCAGGAGGCACCCTGCTTCCTGAATCCCAGCCCTCACCCTCCTCCGGCTGTCTCCTCACACCAAGGGCTGGTGGGGGGCGGGTAGGGAAGGAATGACCGGCTGTCTTGGAAAGGTCATTGCCATTAGCCCCAAGAGCAAACACTTAGTGAGCACTGTGGGGGCGGGTGGTGACTCTGATTTGCTGATTTTATTTTTCCATAAACACTGACTCAAGTCTATAATATTTTTTATTATATCATTTAATAATACCAGACAATTTATTCTCAAAAAATGACCCCAAAATCATCTACACTGTATGCCCAGATGTCTATCTAGAGAGACATAAAATAGTCCAGCCTATGAACTAGGCCATTAAAAAATAAATTACAAAGCAGAGTGAGCCAAAAGGAAGGCAAGTGGCAAATGATGAGACCATGATTCCAAATATTGCCTTTGCACCGGCCTCTGGCCTTTGGCTCCCCTCAGGACACTATCGGAATCCAGCAGCAAGAGCTAGAAATCAGCTGGCAGCCAAGAAAACCGTTACGGATTCCACGATCTTTGCATCTCCAGGCATGGCTGTGTGAGTGCAGGGTAATGCGCACAGCTCTCCCGAGAATGCTCCCTACCTTGAATCCACATCAGTAGGCGACTTCTCCGCAGGCATGAGGGAGACGCAAATACCGAATGAAGCAGGGGAGGTAAGTAAAGTCTGCCAGGGCTTGAAGACAAAACAAATGTACACAAAGCTAGGAATGGATTGATAGGGACTGGTAAATTCCTTAAGTAAGCAGAGTCATTGGATACATAAAACAAATCTAAATACAAAAAAGAGTCAGGTGATTTAGAGCCCCTTGAGTGCAGTGGTCTGTCTGACTACCTGAGGTCAGTAAAGCAGTAGTCAAGTATCACGAAGATAGTTCTAATACTGGCATTTGTCGGTCTGCAGGGGAAGGAACTCTGGGTGCGGCTGCCCCCTGGTGGTGGTCTTGATGATGTTTCCCAATGCACGGGGAACCCTGGGGACCTGGCAGCCAGGAGGGTACTTGCAGGCCTGGGGAAGGCGCTCAGTGTGTCTGTAGACACCCCCGGGAGGCTAGACTTCTATTCAGCAGTCAAGTTCAGGGAGACAGGACCCGCCATGGGCACCACTATGAAGTGGGAGGAGGACTGCCGAGAAGGAAAGAAGTATTCTAGAAGTACATGGTGAGGCCCCTCCTCTGAGCAGGGGCCTGCAGTCACAGCTCAGCATTCTTGGGAAGTTGCTAGGGCCCCTTCTCCCTTCGTATGTGCTGGAACCTG